TTTTCTGCTGTTTGCTCACAGTCAACCTTTCTTAGGCTTTGACTTAGGCTTCGGCTTCGGCTTAGGCTTCAACTTAGGCTTCGGCTTCGGCTAATTGTAAGGCTTCAACTTAGGTTTCGGCTTAGGCTTAGGCTTAGGCTTCGGCTGAGGCTTAGGTTTAGGCTTAGGTTTCGGCTTCGGCTTAGGAGGCTTAGCGCGTGATCGCCAACCAACTTGAGCAGTACTGTGATAACGGCGTCATCATCAACACAAGTATCTTATTTTCTGCTGTTTGCTCACAGTAAATCTTTCTCGGGGAGGGCGCAGAGAAAATGCACTGTGACGAGGGCGGCTTAGGCTTCAACTTAGGCTTCGGCTTAGGCTTCAATCAAGGCTTCAGCTTAGGCTTCAACTTAGGCTTAGGCTTAGGCTTAGGCTTCAACTTAGGCTTCGGCTTAGGCTTCAACCAAGGCTTCCGCTTAGGCTTCGGCTTAGACTTAGGCTTAGGCTTAGGCTTAGTGGGCTTAGCGTGTGATCGCCAACCCACTCCAGCACTAACGTGATAACGAGGTCTCCATCAACACAAGTATCGTATTTTCTGCTGTTTGCTCACAGTAAATCTTTCTCGGGGAGGGCACAGAGAAAATGCACTGTGACGAGGGCGGCTTAGGCTTAGGCTTCGGCTTCAACCAAGGCTTCAGCTCGGGCTTCAACTTAGGCTTCGGCTTAGGCTTAGGCTTCAACCAAGGCTTCAGCTTAGGCTTCCGCTTAGGCTTCAACTTAGGCTTCGGCTTAGGCTTAGTGGGCTTAGCGTGTGATCGCCAACTCACTCCAGCACTAAAGTGATAACGAGGTCTCCATCAATTAGGCTTCAACTTAGGCTCAGGCTCAGGCTTCGGCTAAAATTCCGGCCTAGGCTTCGGCTTCGGCTTAGGCTCCGGCTTACGCTTCGACCTAGGCTTGGGCCTAAGCTGCGGCACAGGCTTTCACTTCGGCTTAGGCTTGAACCTATCGGCTTAGGCTTAGGCTTCGGCTTAAGTTTTGGCCTATTCCCGCCTAGTATGAACACATTTTCGCTATGTATAAACGCACTGTCGCTAAGTATAAACGCAATATTGCTAAGTAGAAACCCACTGTCGCTAAGTATAAACGCACTTTCGCTCAGTATAAACGCACTGTCGCTAAGTATAAACGCAATATCGCTAAGTATAAACGCACTGTCGCTAAGTATAAAAGCACTTTCGCTAGGTATTAACGCAATATCGCTAAGTATTGACGCGTTGTCGCCCAGTATAAACGCAGTATCGCTAAGTATAAACGCACTTTCGCTAAGTATAAACGCATTTTTTCCTAGTATAAACGCAGTATCGCTAAGTATAAACGCACTGTCGCTAAGTATAAACGCACTGTCGCCAAGGAAACGCAATATCGCTAAGTATAAACGCAATATCGCTAAGTATAAACGCGGTATCGCTAAGTATAACCGCAGTATCGCTAAGTTTAAACACACTTTCGCATAGTATAAACGCACTGCCGCCGAATATCAGCACTTTCGCTCGTTATAGTCGCAATATCGCTAAGTATAAGCGCGCTTTTTCGGGTATAAACGCATCTCGCTTACTATAAACGCAATATTGCTGAGTATAAATACTGAATGTTAACACTATCGCAACATTTCGACGCGCGTTTTTACCGCACAGTTTTGTCGTGCGCTTCTGACGCTTGTTCTTGTGCTGCATTTTCGTCCCGTGTTTTTACTGGGTTTTGCCGCGGTATTCACGCGCACCATTAAGCCTAATTCAGGAACGAACGCAGAACAGCTGAAGTGAATTACAAATGAAGTGTACGTAGTGAGAGTACAAAGTACGTAGTGTAAACGTGTCATGACGTGTCATGACGAGCGCGACAATGAATGGCGTTAGCTAGGTGACCGCAGCGAAGCGGCTGCGGTCACCTAGAACCTAGTCCATCGCAAGATCATAAATTGCACGGAGTCGAATAAGATGCCGAAGAGCANCGCACTTTCTATTGTTTCCCATCATTATTTATAGGCATGTGAAGGTCAAGTATTTGCCTACGGGTCAGATATCTGGCGGGAAGAGTACGTTCAATAGAGCGCAATAATTATTTATGTGCGTTCTCGAAGATTACGGACACCAAGACTTTCGAACCCGAAACATGGACAGATTGAGATGGTGTCTGACATCAACAGGTGAAAGATGAAAATCGCTTTAACAAAATCGAGGGAATGGCAACAAACATCACATACAACGAGGAAGGCTCAGAGAGGGTCATCGGGCTTCGCCAAACCGAGAGACCGACGGCATCGACAGGTAGATCAAAAAAGCGATCGCATGCGTAAACTTAAATGTAAAGATCAAGTTAGAAGCTATTTCAAAGTCATTCGTAGAGACTGCATATGACTCCATAAAGCTTCTGAAACTGATTCAAAATATCTAAGTAATGTTAAAATGGGTGAAAATGTAGCTGAGGGGTGCCAGCCACTTTTGTGCTCGGCGTCTCTGACACCGGCAGAGTGCATAGGGATCGCAGAGAAGGATTCCTTCCCCTCTAAAAATTAGGGGAGGAGGGGTGGGAGAGATGATTATCTCATGCAGAAAGCTGAGATGAGATAAAAATTAAATATCCAACTGGTTCACTTACCCCAGAGCTCTTCCCTAATTTTAGAAGGGGAGGAGCTTCGGGATGGGTGAGATTATTGGATGGAGTAAGAAATGAAGAGACGCAGAGCACAAAAGTGCCCGGCACCCCCAACAACATTTTCAATTCAAAATGTATTATAGTTGAGGGAAGGAACTCTTGACCATACTTGAGCGCAGAGCGCGGAAGAAGAGGGGTAGCTGACTCCACCCAACTTTAGAGACGGTACTTAGCGTAGAAAAACAATTCTTATTTGAGTCTCCAAAGTGGATGATTACCTCCCGCAAAAACCTGGATAGGGCTAAGAACTGAACATTCAGTTGACCCACCCAGCTCGGCATTCCTTGGCTCCAACGGCTTACAATAGTTCGAAAAACCTTATTTCTTCGGCTAAGAATCATTTCTATGTACCACTGCGGACTTCCGAAGTTGGCTCTCCTCTTCCTCTGCGTTCTAGCGCTCAATTTGGGGAGAAAGCGGTGCCATCCTAACAACTACGTTTCTACTCTGAGTGTTGTTATTTTCTATTATTAGTGTTTGATTTCTTTATTTTCCTTGAAAAAACCTTCCTGTCTAGACTAGAAGAAGGAAATAGAACAGGGAATGTGTTTAGTATGTCTTCTCAGGAACTTTTAGGACCTGCCATCTTTCCACATGTTCCACTGTGAAATACGAACACGGAGGATAATGAAATACAAAGTCTATGGCGTCAACCAGTCACTTTTCTTTGAGAACAAAATCCATTCGTCTTCTATCCATGATCCTGGGGCGTTTCACTGGACATTAGACTTCGCAGCCCAGTGAGATTGGGAGGTGAATGCCCTTGAACGTTGCAAGGAAGATGCGGTTCGAATTATTTCACTGATCGGGTATTTGAATGCAACTTAGAACGAGAGATGGACCCGCAATTCTGGATGCAGAACTTTGTGACGGCTTCCAAATTTGGCACATTTTCGAGTAAATGGACTGAGCCCAAGTTTGGAAAACTGGATATACAGTGCGTTTCATAATTATAAGGTCACCCCAGATTTTTGCGATTCCGGAGAAAGCAGCCAGAATGGAATTTTTTGGCAAACACTGGTACATTCCTCGTCACAATGTACCTCCGTACTCAAATTTTGGTCGCAATATCTTTCACCTCAAATTTTTTACGAATTTTTTAAAGATAGTGTCGGCTTTTGCACCGTTTCATAATTATAAGGTCACCCTGAGGAAGTAAATGATTTATCAATGTTAATGGCATATGTACAACAGTTAATAAACTATAGCTCCTCCTTG